ACCACCACCACCACCACCACCACCACCACCACCACCATATAGTTGAAAGCCTTTGCATAGTCAATAAACCCGAGTATTCTTTGCTTTCAGCCAAGATGCATCAGAGATCAGCAATGCTATTTCCACTTAAATGTCCTCTTCTGAATCCAGCTTGAATTTTTGGCAGTTTCCTGTCATACTGTTGCAACTATTTTTGAGTCCTCGTCATCAAAAAATTGCTTGCATATGATACTGTTCGATAATTTCCGCATTCTGTTGGGTCACCTCTCTTTGAAATGGGCACAAACAGGAGTCTGCTCCAATTGGTTAGCCAGGTAGCTTTCTCCAAATTTCTTGCCATAGATGAGTGAGCACCTCTAGTGCTAAATCAGTTTGCTGACAGATTTCAATTGCATTCTGTCAATTCTTGGAGCCTTGTTTTATGTCAATGTCTTCAGTGATGCTTAAAATTTTTCCTTCAGTACCATTGGTTCTTCATCATATGCTACCTCTAGAAATGGTTGAACATCAGTATAATGACTCTGTGTATTCCTTTCATCTTCCCTTAATACTTTCTGCATCATTCAATATTTTGCCACACAATCCTTCAATATTGCAAGTCAAGGTTTGATATTTTTCTTCAGGTCTTTCAGTTTGCAAACTGTTGAGTGTGTTCTTCCATTCTGGTTTTCTAACTTCAGGTCTTGGCATATTTTATGATAATACTTTACTTTGTCTTGTCGAGCTACCCTTTGAAATTTCTGTTTAGCTTGTTAAGTTCCTCATTGCTTCCATTCACTGTAATTTCTCTACACTCAAAAGCAAGTTTCGATTCCGCAGAGTCAGGGGACCCGGGTTGGCCTTTCCCCTGGGACACGCCCACTGACTCCGCCCATCTCCCTTCCATTTCTGATCTCACACGTGGAGCAGAGAGAGGAGCGTAGTCAGCTAATCTGCTCTACAAAGGACCAGGATTGGAGGCGCGGATGGCTGCTGTACGTCTGTTACCAACGTGCCCGGAGCTCAGCATCCACTCCGGTCCCTCGGCCTGAATCCGTGGAGCTCCGGGTCCTATAGGGGACTTGCTCTTAGACTTCCCGAAGGTGAAGCGCGGGAATGGGTACAATGATCATTGAAGATGTGGCTGTGGTCTTCACCCACGAAGAGTGGGATTTGCTGGATCCTGCTCAGAGGAAACTCTACAGAGACGTGATGATGGAAACCTTGAGAAACCTGGTGTCAGTTGGTGCAATCAAGAAATCACATGGCTGGAAGGATCACCTTGACAACCAGGGGAGACATTTGAGAACTGGTGCAATCGAGAACCTGGGTGAATGTTCTGAAGGCAACCAGTGTGGGAAAACCTCCAGCCCAATTCCTAGTCTTTCTGTGCACCAAGTAGATCCCACAGAAGTAGATTCTTTTAAATGTTGTGAGTATGGAAGAGCCTTCCTGGATCATTCCCTAGAGAACAATCGTAGTAGAGCTTACACTGGAAGCAATACCTGTCAGTGTCCGGACTGTGGAGAAGACTGCAGGTGTCCTTCTCACCTGATCAAGCCTGTGAGAACTCATGATGGGAAAAATACCCATAAATGTGATATATGTGGGAAAGGCTTCCTTTGTATGTCGACCCTCAAGAATCCTGTGTCAGTAATCACCAGTATTGAAGGGTATGAATTCAGCAACTGGATGGAAATTTTCTGTAGTTTCTCACCAGTTAAGACACCTTTGGAAGGTCATCAATCCAAATATAAAGAATGTTTTAGAATGCATACTAGTCCTTCATCTCTCATTTTAAACAATAACTCTCATAGGAGAGAGAAGTCTTCCGAATGTAAGAAAGCAATTCCTGAGGCTTCCTCCCTCACTCAACATGTAAGTAGTCACTGTGGAGAGATGCCTTATGAATGTAAAGAGTGTGGGAAAACTTTTAGAGATTCCTCAGACCTGACTGCACATAGAAGAATCCACAGTGGAGAGAGGCCCTATGAATATACTGAGTGTGGGAAAGCCTCTGGTGAGGTGTCACTCCTCCCTGGACATATAGGAACTCACAGCAGACAGAGGCCTTTTGAATGTAAAGAATGTGGAAAAGCCTTTAGGGATTCCTCACAGCACAGTGGACATTTGCAAACTCACAGGGGAGACAGGCTCTATGAATGTAATCAATGTGGGAAAGCCTTTAGCCATGCCTACGGGTTCACAAGACATAAAATAGTCCACACCTATAGATGCAGTAGTTCAAAAGAGGGAACAAATCCTTAAAGCAAAGATCATTCCCACCACCTGCATACACAGAGCAGACTGGGATGGGCAACTTAGACATTGGCTACACAAAAAGGGGGGACTAGGAGCTCTGGTAGCGTAGTGGTTACGAATCGGCCTGTGAACAGCAAGGTCAGCAGTTCGAAACTACCAGCTGATCCGCGGGAGAAAGATGAGGTTTTCTGCTCCCATAAAGATTTACAGCCTCGGAAACCCTGTTCAGGGTCGCTATGGGTCTGAACTGACTTGATGGCACTTAACAACAACAACAAAGTCAAGAAGTGACTGACTTACAAGCTTTCAAGAGGGAAACCTAGATCCAGAGGGCGTGGAGGAAGGTAGAATCTCCACTGAGTAGTATCCAATCTAATACAATGTGATGAACTTGACCTACACATATGGATGCAGTAGCTCAAAAGAGGGAACAAATCCTTACATCAACAATCATTCCTACCCCCTCCACACATGAAGAGGACAGGGATGGGCAACTTGGACATTGGCTACCCAAAATTGTGTGTGTGTGTGTGTGTGTGTG